AAACTATTGTCTAACAACACCCCCCCGTTATATTTGGGAAAGCTCAGGCTCAAAAGGGGAAGGGCTGTGTCTAACAGCAAATCTCTCACCCTTGCGTGTCAACCGAGAGCAGATAATCTGTTACATTGCTAGGATGACTCACAAAAAGGGAGGGAAGGCTAAGATTATCAGACTGCTTTGGGGGAGAGAACACTGGATTTGGAGCCTGATTAAGACCTGGGCTGAAGTCCTGCCCTTTTTTTAAGAGAGGGCTCAGGCTTCCCATAAAGCACTTGTATTCATTCAGTGTCTTCTCTCCAGGGACTCTTTGTCAGCATCCTATACTGTTTCATCAACAAAGAGGTATGAAGCCCCCAGACCCATTATGACCTTCTTCCCCACAGGGGGTCAACTGGTAATGGTCATGTCCTACCTTTGCCCTTGGCCCCCCGCAGGTCCAGGCTGAGATCCGAAAACAATGGCAGCGATGCCGGCTGGGCCAAAGTCTCTTGGATGAACGCCTGTCCCGGGACCGCCACTCTTCTAGCCACGGGGCTGCCCCCTGCCACTCCATATGCAGCAGGGGGCTGGGTGGGGAGGGAGAGGAGGCCAGCCCGGCCTCTGAGAGCTCCTGCTAGGAAAGGCTCCAACCACCCCCTGCTTCTCCCAACAAAGAATCAAAGATGCATGTGTGTTTTGCAAAAACGTAATCGCCACCATGCCTCTTTTTCCAGCCCTAATTTGAGGTTTATAGAGCTCTTTCCTTGGCACAGCCTTGGGCTGCGGAAGGTGATACAAGGTTGATTACCCCTGATTTCCAGAGGGAAGAGGCAAGGCTCCATGACTTGGCCAGGGGGCGGAGGAAGAGGCAGAACCACTAAGCTCAGATGACGACAGGCAGGAGCCCCATGGGTATATGGAAGAACAGAATTATAGGATCGGGGAGCTTCAGGCATCATTTAATCCAACCTGCCCGAGCTACAGGTCTCTCTGCGGCATCCAGCCCCTGACAGGAAGCTCACTACAACCTTGTCTCCCTTCTCCTACCCTGGCACCCCATCCCATCCGTAGCTGGTTACTAGGAGCTAATCTCCTTTCTGGAAGACCTGGGTTCAAGCCCCATTTCGGCCACTGACACCCTATCCTTCCCAGTCTCTGGGCCTCACTTTTCCCATGTATGGTATTTGAATATCAAGCCAGAATTGGAATTCCTGCCCTCCGGGACCGAGCAGAACACGTCCTTCAGACAGCAGAAAACAGAGACTGTGTCACAAAATCACAATTTCAGAGCTGACAAGGACCTTAATGGCTATGTACTCCAACTTGTGTTTGAAAAAAACCAAATCTCCTTGTGTAACCTCCTAGACAAGCGGCCACCCTGGCTGGGCCTGGAGACCTCCAGTGAGGGGGAATTCACTATGTTTCAGGGCTGGTCACTCCAGTTCAGGATGACTCATCACGGGGACATTTTTTCCCCTGGTTATCAAGCCTAAATCTGCGTCTTTTCACCTCCCCCCTACAGCTTATGGTCCTGCCCTCTGGCACCAACCATGGGAGGGAGGATCCCCCTTCCATACACCCACTGTATCTTCAAACGCTTAGAGCCATCATATTCCCCCCCCGACCCCGCCCCCTGAGTCTTCTCCGGGCTTTGGGTAAAAGATCCCCCAGCCCCTCCTCATTTGCCATGAAGGAGGCCCTTCACCACCACCATTTCCTTCCTCTTTATGCTCTCCAGCCCATTGGGGTGCTTCATAAATTGTTTTCCCTGGAACCGAATCCCCCAGACGGGGCCTGGTCAGTGAGAGGTGAGCAAGACCGCCATTTTCTGGATCCCAGAAGTCAATGGGGCCCAAGATCCTAACAGCTTCTGGGCTGCGGTCTTGTCCGGTTGAATTACTGAGCTTTCAGTCTCCTAAAGACCTCTGACATTCTTCAGATGAGCTGTTGGGCCTCTCGCACCTGATATGTTTCAAGTTTTGAACACGAGGCTAAGCCTTGGATATTTATCCCTATTTCATCTTATTAGATTCAGCTCAATTTTCAAAGAATCACAGAGCAGGAAGAAACTTCAGGGGCATCTAGTCCCAACTGGCTCATTTTACAGATGAGGAAACTGAGGCCCAGGGGATCAAATAACTTGCCCAAGGTCACTTACATGGGATTTGGATGAAGGTCCTGACTCCAGACCTGTAATCCTTAAGGTGTTTTGTTAGCCTGTTTGGATTCCAATGCTGTCACTCATTGTGATAGGTACCTCTTGCAGCTTTGTGTCACCCGATAAAGATGTCACCTAAATCCTTATGAAAGTCACTGACAAAGACATTCAGCAGCACAGAGCCAAGCGTAGATCCCCGCAGCACTCCACTGGAGACCTCCTTGTGAAGTAACATTGAATTATCAAGGACTATGTTTTGAGCCTGCCCATTATACCAATTCCAGATCATCCCTCTGGCTGTACCATCACCTGGCCCACGTCTCTCCAGCCCTTTCACAAGAATCAATAGATGGCTTTGATGAGACTTGGGTCAACTCTCTCCTGCAGTCCCCTGATGTATTAGCTTAGTAACACTGTAAAAAAGGAAATAAAATTAGTTTTGTGTGAATAGTCCTCAATGAAGCTACGTGGGTACTTTCGCTTCCCGCTTCTTCTCCTTCCGGTTCACCGACCGTCCCTTTAGTAATAATCCATTCCAGAAATTGAAGTCAAGCTCACTGGCCTCAAGTTTGCCGGATGTTTGACCTTTGTGCCATGGTCCCCCTCCCACTCTCCACCCTTTCTAAGATCCCGGATGGTGCCTCTGCAATCATACCCAGGGATGTAACTCATCTGGGTCACTGTGGACTCATCCAGAGTAGCCAGGGGCCCTCTCCTTTTCTCCTGACTGCAGGATCAGCCCCCTAGTAGCCATTTTCACTTTTCTTTCCAGTCTGAAAATCCTTCTCCTTGGTAAACAGAAGCAAAATGCACATGGTGCAGTCTCATCATCGACAGGCCTCTGCCTTCACTGGTCCTCGCTCTTGGCCCACACCACCCCGTTCTTCTTCACAGATTCTGGCATCATTGGTCTGAGACATTTAACATCCACATCCTTGGCGTGGTCTTCTGAAAGCCTTCTAAAAATCCAAGCTGGCTGTGGAGTGGTCTGTACATCTACACCACGTACCCTTCTTCTCCTCACTGAGAGAGGATTCAGAATTTCATTCTTGTGTTTCCTGCCCTTCCTCAGCTGTTTTCCCCACACAACTTTAGTGTGTGGGATCCTAGCCTACTCTGAACTCTTTGAAATCTGGTCTCTCGATTTCTAGGATGCATGTTAAACTATTCTCAGCTCTCCTCTCCCATATCACTGCTTTCCCCTGCTCCACAATGAGCTCCTCTGCTGGAGAAAAGCAGGTCCAGAATAGAATTCCCTTTGATGTTTATGAAATGATTGTTAAGATAAAGGCAAGAATGACTTCACACGTGTAACTGACATCACACTGCTTGCCTTCTCAATGGGATAGACTTTGGAAGTCAAAATCTTTTTTAAGAAAATGGATCTTAAAAATAAATAAACATTTAAAAACCCACCAAAAAGTCAAGAGATCAGCAGAGAATGAGCACTAGCAGGTCTGGAGGGGCTCTTAGACCTTCCCTTTCCCTCCCCTCCCCTGATCCTCACAAATAACGTAAGAGCTACAGTTTGAGAGGATCTTCTTTTATTTCCACAGATCCAAAGGATTCTTCCCCTCCTTGTGAAGGAGTACCCTTCCCTCTTGCAATATGATATAAGATTTTTCAAATATATACTGAGATGATGTGAGGATCAGAGGGAGATTCTTGAAGGTGGAAAGCTTTGTGACTTTGGGGTGGGAATGAGACTCTGGATCTTAAGCCTGTAACAGCCCCAGAGGAAGGGGAGCTCCTTGGGGTCGGGTTGAGCGGTAGAGTCAAGCCCAGTGTCTCCTTAAACAAGGTCTGGGGGGGGGGGGGGGCGAGGAGAACTACCTTTGTGACCCTAAGCAAATCAAGGCTAAGAAGGGGTTGAATGAGACGGTCTATAAAGCCCTTCCAGGTCTAAGGGCCTTCCTGTTCTTAGGACCCCCAAGAATTCCCCCAACTCCTCCCCCTCCTGTTTGCAGGGGTCTCAATTCCCTTACCCACCACTGCACCCCCACTTCCATGACTTTATAATATAGTCTGTACTCTTTAGGATGGAAACAGTGACTCCCTGAGGGTGGGGTGGGAAGGAGGAGGAGGGCTCCTGCGCTGTCAGGGGAGCTCTCTGGGGCCAGAGGCAGGCCAGCAGGAGGCTGTGTCCAGCAGGGCTGGGATGGCAGTCCCTGCGATAGATGAGAATTTAGGGGGAAGGAGTTTACTTTTTTCTGGTTGGTAAAAGTAGCATATGTAAATCAACAATAAAAACACCTTGTTCTTTGTGGGGAGAGGGAATGAAAAAGTCAGCCTGAGAGTTCAGGCCCAGGAGCGCCAGGCATAGCTCAGAAGGCACCCTCAGCTGGGAATGGAGGAATTTGGCCTGTGCTGCCTCTGATGCTTCTGAGGTGGGGGACCTGACCTCCCTGGGCTACTTTCCTTATTGACAGAAGTGAGGGAGGTGAATATGCTGGGGTTCCAGGCTTGCTTGGCTCCACATTCTAGTAGGGGTTGTTAGCACCCCCAAAGTTCCAGACCCCACTCACAACCTAATGGTAGAAATGCTGGGGGGTGTGTGTGTGTGTGTGTGTGTGTGTGTGTGTGTGTGTGTGTGTGTG